CTTAGTGTGGGTGTATGGGAAAAGCTGCTACAGTAAACTCCAATTTTTTAACAGCTCTTGAAAAAAATCTGGTGATTCCGAACCCTGCTGATACCACTTCAGGAAAGTCACCTAACCTCTCTGTGCCCCAGTTCCCTGTATGGCGGGATAGTACTAGGACACATCTCATCATCTATTGAAGAATGAATGAAATACAGGACATGTTGGGAACAGTGTCTGGCACTCAGTGAGTGCCATCTAAGTACTTTATGTTAGTGATTATTAACTTTCACATTTACTGTCTGTTTCTGGCAAGTGACTTTGGTTTCTGTTACAGTGGTATAAAAATTCTTTCCTATTACATTTATTTAAGTTTTAAATGTCTATTTAAGGAAGCATATCAAGTAAATAATAGTTCTTCTGGCTTAAAGATGTGGCTCCAAATGGTAATGACAGGTCTCAAATGGCAGAATGGTGGGAAACCCAGCCCTCAGATTAAGCCAGAAGCTCCTTATTATGGCTGTCCAGGCAACCTGGACAGAAAGCCTTTGGGAGTGTCTAGCTCACTCCAGGACTGCTTGTAGTCAGGGCTGCTGCTGCTCTGGACCCAGGACCCAGGATTTTCAGGTCACCCAAATCCCCGGGGACCCCAAATCACATCTACACCAGTGTTCCTGAGCTTCCTCCAGACTGGCATTATTTGTAAGCAGATCTGGACCCTGGGGCCCTGAAGGTAGAAGTCTTGTCCTCTTGGGCTGCCACCTGGTGGCCAATATTGAGAACAACATCTCAGCCCTATCCCTGTCCAGAAAAGTCCCTTAGAGACTCCTTCCCTGGAGGTCCATGGGGTAGCCTTGTTGAGTCTTGTGGTAGGAGGATTAATATGCCCTGCCAGAGGCCCAGGGCCTCATAGCTTGCCTGAGATGATGCCCTTTGCAGCCTCTGTCTTCTCACAGGAGAAGACATGCATGTCTTCTCATGCATGCATGCATTCTTTCATTCATTTAACAGATACCCACTCTGTGCTGAGATTCCAGGGGAGAGAACAAGACAGATATGCTCTCTACCCTCATGGATTTTTATTATAGATGAAGGAGGGCATAGGAAGTAGGAATAAATATATAAAATCATAAGTGCTGCGAAGGAAATAAAGCAGAATAAAGGGATGGGAAGTGTGTATATTGCACACAGGAGGGTGGTAGGGGCAGGCCTCAGGGAGGAGGGCACTTTGAGCTGAGATATGAATCAGATCAGTAGGATCATGCAGGTATGGGGGCAGGGAGGAGGAGATTTCCAGGGAGAGAAAGGGCTCCTGTGGAGGCCCTGAGGCAGTGATTTAGTTGCTGTTGCTAAGTAATAAATTGCCCTAAAATTGAACTTAAAACAACCATTTAAATTTTGCTCATGATTTTCTGAGCCAGAAATTGGGAAGGGGGATCAGTTGGGTGCCCCCCACTGGGGGTCTCATGCTGCTGTATCCAGTGACAGTTGGGACTGACCATCTGGAGGCTGGCTGGCCTGGGCTGCCTTTCCCTGAGGGCTCCATCTCGCACTGGAGTTCAGTGGGTCATGGACTTGAGCAGCCTGGAGTCCTTGGTACCTACCTGGGTTTGGCTTGCAGTGCCTGCCTGCCTTTCTTTACTCCTTACTAGTTTTAAGATGTTATTTATTTGGTTTACCCAAGAATCAAAAATTAAAAAAAACACGAGTTTTTTTCAATTGAGGTGATATTTACCTAACATAAAATTAATCATTTTAAAGTGTACCATTCAGTGGTATTTAGTACATTGACAATGTTGAAAACACCAGCGTTTCACAGTGCAAGTCTCCTTCCCTCCCCATCTCTCCCCAGTTCCTGTGTATCCTTCAAAGTGTCTCTCTCTCTCTCTATTTATATATCTATTTGCTTTCTCTTTTCTTTACACTTTGTACTATTACATACATCACTCTATTCCTTGCTTTTTTGATAGCAGCAACAATTAGAAAAATAACAATATCTTATTCTTGTCTGGTACTTATTCTGTGCCAGGCAGTGTTTTAAGACCTTCCCATGTATTATATCCTCAGACACATCCCATAAGGTAGGTACTGTTATTGCTTTTTACAGGTGAAGAAACCCAGGCACAGAGAGGCTAAGTAACTTACCCAAGGACACACAAGCTCATGAGTGGTATAGCCAGGGTTTGAACCTACCAGTCTGCCATATTTAATATCTGTGAGATCTTCTTTCTTACAAATAGCTTGTACAATTTTTGAAAAATTAAACTCTTTATTTTGGAATACTTACAGATTCACATGCAGTTGTATGAAATAATAGAGATCCCATGTGCCCTGTCCCCCAGTGATCACCTCTTGCAGACTATCATGCAATATCACAACCAGGACATTGGCGTTGATGCAGTCCATTTGTCCATAAAAATGGGACGGTGAAGCCCACAGGCCATGACAGGACAAAGTGAACTGGCTCACATGGTGTGCTCAGAAGAAGGAGCACTTGAAAGGTGTTAGCTGTTTTTTTTCACCTTTCTGGTGTAGGCAGGGTGCTGAGTGCTTACATAAGGTATTTGTGCCTCCTGCAGCCTGAGTGGTTAATTACCACCCACTTGTGTAGATTGGGATAGGGCCCAAGGCCACAGGGCTGGTCAGGAGCTGAGCTGAGCTGAGTTCAGACCCAGGTGTACTGCTTTTCCAGGACCACTGGGATTCAACTGCAACTGCAGTCACTCTCTGCTGTGTGAGTGAGACTAGAGCCTCAGTTTCCTCATCCATAGCTCAGGGATAATGAGGAGCACTTTCTCCCAGAGTCATTAATGGGATTGGGCATGAGGACCATCTCTAGGCAGGCCCTTCACATGGAGCTTTGGGAAGGGGTAAAACAGTGTGCACCGCAGTGGGAGCTGAGGAGGGTACACTCGCTGTTGGGTGGGCTCCTACTGTGTTTGTAAACACCCCCTCCCCCCCGACACACACACAGGTGGCAGGGAGAAGGGGTACAAGGGAACTGCCTGCTTTCTGCACATATCCCTCACTCTGTGCCAGGTTCAATGCCATATGGCTCCCCATCATCGAGACAAACCCCAATATGACCTCCCTGGTGTGACTCCCCCATAAGACTGCCAGAGCAAACCCCAGCATTACAGCTCCACAAACTCCCCAAAGTCATACCCTAAAATCACAACCTCTAAGTGCCACTAACAGGACAAATGAACCCCCAGCTAGCTGTCTCCCCTGTATGAAGCCTGCCTCTCCCCCAGAACACTGCCCCCGCCCAAGTCAACACTGCAGGCAGCCAGCCTAGGGGCCAGTGACCCTATGACCTACACATGGCTCCTTCTGCAGGCCATGGACCCAATGAGGGGCTGGAGGAGGTGGCTCTGGGGCTGGAGTTTCCCTCCCAGTGAGACCTTGACTGCCTCTCCACAGAACCGGCCTCTGCCTCAGTCTCAGCCAGACATGTCTAGCCTCCAGGCGCTGTGCTCTGGCCTGCCCCTGCAGCCCCTCCCGGAGAACCAAGGACGCTGGGCTGGTGTGCCCCATGCTCCAGTCAGGACCCCAGGCCTCAGCCCTGCAGAGGAGCAGGTAAGAATTTGGGCCCCATTCCTGCTGGGACTCTGCCTTCTGCATGGTCTCAGGTGGGTAACCCCTCCTTCCTGTTCTCTCTGCAGGAGCTGAGGCTGGGGGTCTCAGGAACGCCCAGTGGGGGTGGCGGGAGAGGGGGAACCCATAGGTGCCAGATTCCATCACACCCCATAGCCCTCATTTTCTCCCCAGTGGCCATGGTTGGGTACGGGATTATGGTCCCCATTGACAGATGAGAACCCTGAGGCTCAAGGTCACCCAGCCAGTAAGTGGTGGTGCTGTGGCTGCCTCCAGTCCTAGGAGGATTGGGGCCACTGTGAAGTGCCCCAAATGTACAGAAGCAGTATATGTACCTTCTTGGCCCAGGCTCGCACATGGCTTTGAAGTTCTACGCTGCAGTAGATGAGCTCTTTGTTTTCGTTTATGGGGCACACCCTCTCCCCAAATCTTCCAGTGAGTTTGCAGCTAGCTGTGTAGCTAGAACCCTAGTGAGGGCATGGGGTGGGGGTGTGCTGGTGAGAGCTGGCTCAGAAACCAGGCACCCCCTCTTGATCACCCACAGCCTCTCCAGCCAGCACTTCCTGCAAGTCGCTGTCTGGGAGCTGCTTGTCGCCCCTGTAAGCAGGGGATGAAAATACACCACACGGTAGTGGAGGAGACCAGATAAAATAAAGTACTGTGCATGGCTACATAGATAGTTTTCTCCTGCTTTTTCTTTGCTCAGAATTACTCAAGAATTTCAGGAACAGTGTGGGGCAGGGAGAAAATACTAATAAGCACAAAGATCAAGAGAGGAACCCAACCACCCCAGGATGGATAAGGACTGCTCCCATTTGTGGGGCTGCCCCCTAGACTCCACCAAGTGCTTCCCACATAGGGGGAACAGGGTGCTGGGGAGCACAGGGGAATGGGGGGGCGGGGTGCTGGGGGCGGGTCTGGGAGGAGTACGCATTGGGGTAGGGTGGGGGCGGGGTGCTCTGCCGCCCTTCATTTAACCTATCTGGCCCAGCTCAGCCACGTCAGAGCAGAAGCTCTTGTTTTCTCCCTCTGGGTCACCTCCCTACTGGGCACCAATGCCTTGACCTTTGACAAGAGAGTGTGAAGGACCTTGCCACGTGCACATCTCAGGTGACACCCTATGGTTATGTGCTAGTAATTGGCTTCCACAGTGTGTTGTGCTGAGATGAGGGCACTTGGGAGCTGAGGAAAAGAGGCCACCTCAGCTTTGCCTATGTTTGTCATAGGTTTATTTAAAGAGCACGAAGCCCTTGGAGTAGGGATGACTTGCCAGTCTGAGGAGTTTGAGCTGTTGAAGGGGCTAAATCTCCTATCTGGATGCCAGTTAGCCAGACTTCAGCTGGTGCCTGCGAAATAATAAGAAATATATGTGTATAAATATATGTATAAGCTTGGAGCTTTCAGCCCCACCCCGGATACTCCAGAAAGAATAGAGGGGCTGGAGAATGAATTAATAATTAACTATACCTACATGCTGAAGTCTCCATAAAAATCCCTTAATTAGGGGTGAGTTTGGAAAGCTTCCAGGTTGCTGAATGCATGAAGGTGCTTGGGTGCAGGGTGGTGAGCTCAGAGAGAGCATGGAAGCACCCCTTTCCCAGACCTTGCCCCATGTATTTTCATCTGGTTGTTCTTCTGTATCCTATATCATATTGTTTTTTATATAATAAGCCAGTAAACATAATGTTTCCCTGAGTTCTGTGAGCTGCTCTAGCAAATTATTGAACCCTTGAAGGGGGTTGTGGGAACCCCGATTTATAGCTGTTGATCAGAAGTACAGGTGACAACCTAGACTTCAATTGGCATCTGAAGGAGGGGGCAGTCTTGTGGGACTGAGCCCTTAACCTGTGGGATCTGTGCTGACTCCAGATAGATAGTGTCAGAATTGAGTTGAATTGTAGGACACCCAACTGATGTCAGAGACTTGGTCAGTGTGGGAAAAACCCCCACATCTGGTCACAGAAATGTGCTGTGTGAGAACACTTTCTCCTGTAGAGGAGAGACATGATTCCTACACAGTTCCCAAACCCAGTGATAGCTTTATCAGCAGCTCAATTTATACTTTTACTTTGCTTGTTTTCTATATTTTTATTTAAATGTGTTTCTTTGACTTTCTTTCTTCCTTCCTTCCTTCCTTCCTTCCTTCCTTCCTTCCTTCCTTCCTTCCTTCCTTCCTTCCTTCCTTTCTTTCTCTGTAGCTGAGCCATCCTGCCACCTGTTGGCAGCTCAGAAGCAGCTCAGCTCAGGCCGTGCATCAAACTGCTGTTGCTCAGAGCTCATACTCAAGTGAGCGAGCTCTTAACCAACTGAGCCACTCGGCCGTCCCTGTTTCTTTCACTTTTGACATAAACTTTGAAAGGTAATTTTAGGAGATAAGCAAATTAAATATTATAAAAGTAAAAGTTCCCCCACTCCACCTCCCCAAGTCACTATTTGTTTATTTATTCATTTTTTTGGTGTATGGTTCCAGGAATATTTTATGTACATGCGAGTTATGTATGTGTTCTTAAAAGTAGAAGTAGAAGCATTCTATATATGTTAGGGTTTTTTTAGTTTTTATTTTTATTATTTTATTTTTTTAGCTGAGTCATCCTGCCACCTGTTGGCAGCTCAGCTCGGGCTGGGCATCGAACCACTGTTACACAGAGCTCGCACTCTTGAGCGAGCTCTTAACCAACTGAGCCACTCGGCCGGCCCTATTTTTTATAAGAGTTTATTTGCGCCAAACTGATGATATGTGGGAAGCAAGATCTCATATACTCCTTTGTCAGTTTTTTCTTTTTTTTGAGATTGTTCATTATTGGTGTATTTAAAGTTGCCCCCATTCTTTTAACTGTTTTATAATATTTCATTTCTGTGATCTAAAATGTGCTTCACTCTTTGCTCTTCGTAAAGTAGATTTCTCTGTTTAAATATAGAGTATGCACTGTGTATGACATTTTAGCCAATGTATTCTCAGCATGAGCACACGACAACTTCTACAGTGCAGAGGAATATTTAGTCATATACTATGCCCAGTTCCCCTATTAGAAATGTCTTTAGCATTCCCCCTCCGCCATATGCAATTTCTCTTACTGACCTTTTCCCCAAGTTCTGCCCCACCTGAAATGGGCTGGCTGGGCATCAGATACCAGATCTAAAGACCTCTCACACGTGTCTGAGTTCCCATCACTACTAACACTGTCCTGAGCTTCTTGAGTATAGGGCTCTGTGGGGCTCATTTCTGGGTCTTCGGTGACACCAGCAGTTGTTTGTTGAATGAGTGTACAGGACTATAGGCTAAGTGCCCAAACCAACATCCTACAACAGTTTAGCAGGCAGGAGAAACCTCTTCTGGGAAGAGGAGGTCTTGGCAACATGGGCAAGGTTTTTAGACTGGAAAATATGAGAAGTCTATTTCGAGACAAAGAGAGGTAGTAACCAAAGATGTAGAGATGGGACTGTCCAGAGTATATTGGGGGTATAAGCCTGAGCTGGGTGCTGAGCTTGGAGACCCAGGCCCAGCATGGTTATAGAGGACCCTGCATGCCAAGAACAGTGTGGACTTTACCAGATAAGTAATGGGGAGCCCATGAAGGTTTCTGGGTAGGGACATGGCCTGCTACTTAGCAATACACCCTAGAGAGTGTAGAGGTTTCTACAGTTCCTAAAGGGGGGGGGGTGAACAGAGGCCCAGTTGCAGTAAACAACTGGCAGCTTGGAGGGCCATGAGTGTGAGAGATGATCATTTTGCTAGCGAGCACTCCTCATGCGGCACGTATGTGTGCCGGACACTGTTCTAGGCATGTCAGTTTATTTAGTCCCAAAGACAGCCCTGTGAGGTATGTGCTATCATTGCACTTATTTTACAGAGGGGGAATTGGAAGCTCAGAGAAGGGGTGCATGCACATGCCACGTAGCAGACGCTCAAGAGAGGCTCCCTGTCCCCAGCTAGAAGAGCCTGAGCCACAGTGGACCCAGAAAGTCAGGCCAGAACTGGTTGAGGGTCCTAATGGAGCTGTGCTAGAGGGGTTCAGGGATGGGGGTGATTCAAACAAGGCCAAACCAGTTGGATCATGGCCATCATTTTGGCAGAAATAGTGACAGTCAAAAACTTTCAGGTGGGTGATGTTTGCTCTTCAGGTTCACTGCCAGGTTAGAATGAAAAGTAAAGCACAGGCCAAATTTTCTCTCTCTCTCTCTCTCTCTCTCTCTCTCTCTCTCTCTCACTCACACACACACACACACACACACACACACACACACACACACACGTACCCCTCCCTGTCCTGGGAAGTAAACAAAGTTGCAGGCTGGTATCCTTGTAGGTGATCAGCTACCACCCAGGAAAGGTTTGGTCATGGCAGGATTCTGTCACTGTCTTCTTAGTTTCCTAGGGCTGCTGTAACCAATCACCACAAACAAAGTGGCTTAATACAGCACAAATCTATTCTCTTATCATTCTAGATGTCTGAAATCTGAAATGGGTTTCAGTAGGCTAAAAGCAAGAAATATTATTGCACTAATATGGAAATCATTCTTGTGCTTTTGTTCTCTTATTATCTTGACTCATTTTGGGGGCACAAATATGACCTATCAGGTTGTCCTGGATTATGTTTACATAATATACTTTTAGTAGCATTAGATATATTGTAAAATGTCAAGTTAAAAAAAAATGCAGCAGGGCTGCTGCTGCATTCCTTCTGGAGGCCCTTGGGGAGAATCCATTTTCTTGCCTTTTCCAATTTCTAGAGTGTCCAGAACCTCTGGACTTTTGCATTTCTTGGCTTGTGACTTCTTCCTCCATCTTCACAGCCAGGAGCACAGCAAATTCAGATCTGTCTTTCTGACTCTGATCCTCTGCTTCCCTCTTGTAAGGACTCTTGTGATTACATTGGGCCCACCTGGCTAATGAAGGATGCTTTCCCATCTCAAAAGCCTTAATTTAATCTTATCTGCAAAGTCTCATTTGCCATGTAAGGTAGCATATTCACAGGTTCCAGGGATTAGGATGTGGACATCCATGGGGACCATTATTCTGCCTACCACACCATCGGGTTCCCAGAATCCTCCAATCCAGTGGCTGAACATAGGACCTTTTATGAATTAATCCTCTGGCCCTAAAGGTACAGGCCACTGAGCTTGTTAGGCAAGGTGGGGGCGAGGGGTGCAGGGGTCTCTAAAACATTCGATCTAATTTATGTGTCTTGAATACACCTGACTTCACCATCAAGAACCCACTTGTCCCACACATTATGTAGTTAATAGGCCACAATTTCACCAGTGGAAACCCATCTCTGACACTATATGCTGCATAACCCACCCTCTGGTGTAGGCTGAGATGTGCAGAGCTTGTGGTAGCATTGTGTGATTAGTATGCCAGCTGACCACCCACAGTGTGAATTCCCAAGTGGGGCTCCAGCTGGCGCTCCCTGTGGGTGCTGTGGCATTTGATGTTAAACTAAAGACCTGCAAACAAGGAAGCTGCAAAGCTGGGGAGGGACAGAAAGCAAAAAATACTCCCCAGGTTCTGGCTTGGGGTCTTTAAAGAATAGATGGGTAGAGTGCCAGGCATTGCACATTATCTCTCTCATCTAATCCTTCCAACTACACAGCTTGGTGGGCCATGCTGAGAGATGAGGAAAATGAGGCAGGGGTGACCTGACCAAGCTCACACAGCTAGTATGTGGCAGGGCCAGGAACACACTCAGCTGTGCCTGCTGTTCCATTCTCAGCAGGAAGTGACCGACCTCATCACTCCACTCAGCTTGTTCTCGCTGAGCCTCCTCCCCTGCTGAGGTTGCCAGGGTCCATGGGGCACTTGGGCCTTCCCCCAGGCCTGCCCCAGGGCTGCTGCAGGACCTTGGGCAACTCACACAACCTGTCTGAGCACCATTTTCTCATCTCAGTGCCAATAACTGCCCCCACCCTCACCAAAGACTTGGAGTATTGAATCCAGGCCAGCAAACAGAGCTGCTTCTTTTAAAATTTTTCATTCAAGAAATAATTATTGCATGCCTTTTATATAATTCTAGACATAGGTGATAATGTTATTGAACAAATATAGAAGAAAACTTTCCTGAACTAGTTACACACATGAAATTGCAGATAAAAAGACATAATTTATCCTCGAAAGAAAAAAAAACTTGATGTAGAATAGTTGACAATAAGAGATATCTAGGCTAAATTACTGAATTTCAGGGATAAAGAAAAATTCAATGGCGATAAAATTGAAAACTTTTACAAGGGAAAAATAGGCAAATAGCTTTTGTGCTGCGTTTAGGATTCTGGAAATTGCCAGAATCCCCTTTATGGGACATGTGCATAAATACTTCATTTTAAAACAGATTGAAGGGCCGGCTGAGTGGCTCAGTTGGTTAAGAGCTCACTTAAGGGTTTGAGTTCTGAGCAACAGTGGTCCGAGTCCAGGCTGAGCTAAGCTGAGATGCTACTGTGTTGCCACCAGGTGGCAGGGTGGCTCAGCTAAAAAAAAAAAAAAAATTAAAATTAAAAAAAATAAAATAAAACTGATTGAATTTCATACAACTTTTAAATACATTTCATAGAATGGCTGAGTCATTTATATTAACTGACATAATTTTAAAATCATTAATTTTGACAGGAAGTTTTGTTATGTTTTTGAGTTATGTGATTATCTGAACAATGTTGCAAACACATTTGACACAGTTAAATCCCACCTTCTTCATCTACCACCTTGGTAAAATATCAAATTAAGCCTGAGTAATGAAGCCTGCATTTCTGGAGAACAGTGAATACAGTGGTTTCAGACGGCAGCTGCCACCTCCTAGCAGGTTGTGAAATTGGTTTAGGGGGTTGCAACCAATATTCATTAGGAAATGAAATAAAAGAAGTTAGAACAGGATAGAATATATTAGGACCCTTGTAGTAGTAGTAGTAGTAGTAGTAGTAGTAGTAGTAGTAGTAGTAGTAGTGTGTAATATATATTGCTTTTGAAACTTTTTTCTTTATGTTCATTATCTCTTGGCAAGCTCTGATTAGAAGCTATACATCAGTTTAAAAAAACAAAACAAAAAACAAACCAACCTTTGTGCCGAGGTGTAACATGCACAAAAAGCAGCCCAAACCCCATGGACACAGGTGTGCATCTCCCAGGTGTACAGACAGAGGGAACGGGCCCCAACCTCAAAGGGTAACTACTGTCCTGACTTCTCACAGCATACCTTAGCCACACTTGTTCTTGAACTTTGTGTCCTGGGAGTTATGCAGTACGTCCCTTTTGTGTCAGCTTCTTTCACTCAACATGAGGGCGGGAGATTCATCCTGGCTGCTGCATGTAGTTGTGGATTGTTCGTTCTCCTTGCTGTCCTGTAATGTTCTGGGACCCCCAGAACTTGTCAGAAATGCAAACAGACTTTGGGGGTGGGTCCAGCACTCTGGGTGATTCTTATGCCGGATGGCCTTGAAAGACTCCTGTGGGGGCATATTCCTAGTCACTGCTTTTAAGGGAGAAACTCATATTTCTGATCAGTTTTTTTTTTCCAAGAGGGAAGGGATTATGTGCTTTTATTCTATGTGAAAATTAAGCGAGGAAATGGCTCCCTAAACCCTTTTGAGGTTCTGAAATTCCTTGAGCTGACCTTTTCTCCCTCTTGAATTGTCCCTCCTTCTCTCTCTTCCAACCTCACCTGCCCCTAAGGCCCCAGTAACACCCCTGTCATTCACTCCTAGGGACATGTCTTAGCCCTCTGTGTCTGACCTCTGGACACAATGAACAGGCTGTCCCTCTCCTAGGCCTCTGCTCTCAGCCTCCAGGGCTCCCGTGCTCCTGGCTGGGCTCCCAGCTCCCGGTCTTGCTGACTGACATTTCTGCCCCTGCTCAAATGCTGGTGTCCTTAGGGCCCAGTCCTAGGGCCTTGTTTCTTTTCCTGTCACCTCCTGCCTTGTAGTGTCCAAAGCCCAGCTGTCTTCTCTGAGTCTCCTACCATCTCTCTCCTGAATGAATGAGTGGATACATTTACCACAGCCAGTTCCTCATCTCCCCTCACCCCCAAAGTGGTTGGATTTTATGGTCATCTGAATGGATAAATGACCTCAATGTCCATCCAGACACCAGGTCATCACCTCAGGCCCCTCCCCCACTTCACCTGCCTCCACCCTCAGGCTCCAGTCTGGGTGTTGGAAGGAAGAGAGTTATGAAGGAGTCAGCCAAGACTCCGGGCCTTGACCCTAGTAAGACAGATTGTAAGGAAGGAAGGAAACAAACAAATCAGAGTGTGTCTGACACTGAAAAGCTCCAGAAGGAAACAAAGGTGGGAAGAGAGGCTGGGAGTAAAAAAGGCAAGGACAGCCAGGCCTCTGAAGAGGGGCATCTGGACTGAGACCAGAATGAAGGGAGGAGCCCTCCAAGGGAAGCAGGGTGGCCAAGGGGGTTTAGGCAGCAGGAAGGGTAAGTGCAAATGTCCTGAGGCAGGACCAAGAACATCAATGATGTCTAGAGAAGAGTGATAAGGCTGTGGTGGGGGGGTTGGCGGGGTGAGGGAGTGTGGGAGTTTGGGCTGCTTTTCCTACTTGGATAGAAAACCCTTAGAAGGCTTCATGCAGCAGATGATGTTGTAGATGGGCCTAGGGTGAGAACTAGGCAGTCTCTGGGTGGGGCCATATGTTTCTGAGTGGAGCAGGTGCAAATCCAGGTAGGGAAGGTGAGCCCGTCATAGAAGCCTCAGGATGTTTGGCCTGGAGCCCCACACCCCTTGCTGCCCCTCACCACTCTCCTCCCCCAGCTGGCGCTGAGGAATGCCCTGCGCTACTTCCCCCCGGATGTGCAGAAGCTGCTGGCCCCTGAATTTGCCCAGGAGCTGCGACTGTACGGGCATATCTATATGTACCGCTTCTGCCCCCGCATTAAAATGAGGTGAGTGCTGGTGGGCGCTGCTTCAAAGGGGGCCCAGAGCGGGAAGGGAGGGACATAGGAGGGACATGCTGGAGATCAGTAACCCCAGAGAGTCAGCAGGGAGGCAGAAATTGAGGTTGTCTGCATTGGGAGGACCATGGACATGGCATGCTAAGTCAATGCCCCTCACACAGAAAGAACAAGTAGCAGTGTTGTCATCAGTGGGGCCTGCAGCCTAGAGCTGAAGCCCCCAAGCCTGGCGAGAAGATGGGGGATCCTTACCAGATAAGTCCCTCTGGCCCACTGAGTAGACAGTCCTGTGCAATCCTGGAGCCAAACTGTATACAAAATCCCTTTCTAAAAACCCCACATTCTATCGTCCTGCTAGAGGGCAAGGAGGGCTTCAGAGGGTGGCTCTACCCGTGTCTTCAGACAGCTCGAGCTTCCCAGTGGGGCTCTCACGCTGAATGCTGCAATGCACTGGAGGCCTTGCGAAGAAACTGCAGTGGCTGGTCCTCACCCCACAGTCAGCAGGTCCAGGGGTGGGGCAGGAGCCTCTGCCCTCACAGTTCCCAGATGCTGCTGCCCCACCCAGGTATCACACTGAGCACCTTTATTCTTGGATATGCCAGAAGCCCAGACTTACCTGGTACCACCCCAGGGAATTGCATTCTCCCCATAAAGCAAGAGCCGCATCCCTTCATTTCTGTTGTGCCCTGCTTGCCTGGCACCTGCTGTGGAATTGGTGTCCAGGATCACGAGTGGTGTGAAGGAAAGAAGGAATGAATAAACTGCACCTGGAATAGAGGCTTCTAGAAAGCGTTGCTTCAAAGTCAGTACTCTCCCAATTACAGCCTGCTGAGAAGGGAGGAAGGGTGGCCCAGGTGGGGTAGAGGCCGAACTCCCCATCCCTGGAAGGGCCGGGGTGCAAAGCACAAGGTGAGCACCAAAGCAGGTTGGCGTTGGTTCCTGCGGGGGAGCTCCCAGGTGACTTCTGCATGATGTCGGGTCTTGCTGTCCACACCTGTGTGGCCAACAGCTGGGCAGCGGCCGGGGGTGCCTGAGCTTTAGCAGGAAGGAAGGCTGGTGCCCTCCCATCATCACTCCCGGTGACTGGACTCCCCTTGCAGGGCCTACCCAATCGAGCAGTACCCCTGCCGGACGAAAGCTGCAGCAGCCATCATGCACATGATCATGAACAACCTGGACCCTGCCGTGGCCCAGGTAACGGCTGGGGCAATCGAGGCATGGGGGCCAGCACTGTCCAATAGAAACTTAACATGAGACACACATGTAACGTGTTTAAGCTTTTTATTTAGAGAGAACGATAGCTTCACAGGAAGTTGTAACAATAGTGTACAGAGAATACATACCCTTCTCCCAGCACCCCCAGTGGCTGATTCTTCTGTAACTAAAGCACAGCACCCAACACCAGGACATCAACATTGGTACAATGGAAACATGTGTAATTTTAAATTTCCTAATAGCCACATGAAAAAATAAAAAGATGGATTTAATACTGTGTTTTGTTTATCTGGCTATCTGAAATATTATCATTTCAACATGCAATCAATAAAAAATTATTGAGATAGTTAACAATTTTTTTCTACAAAATCTTTGAAATCGGGTGTATTTTATACTTTGAGTATGTCAGACAGGCCATGGTTCAAGTGCCTAATAGCCACATATAGACAATGCAGGTCCGGCCACATGTACCTGTCCCAGACCTCCTTGAGAGCCAGTCTATACATCAGATTCCATATTTGAGAAAGGATAGCCTTTGCGGGTGAGTCTCCAAATATTATATTTGAAGGTAGAACTTCCTTAGCCCTGGCTCTGGACCCAGAACCTAATCACAGATGGACCCCTGACACTGACCCTGGGCTGAGTTCCCCAAGTGACCCCAAATCCAGCTCTGTCCCTTACCCCAGTCACAGATGGGCTGATGTTGCTGCAGGAGCTGCTGCCTCTGGGTCTCACCACTTCTGGCTTCTCCCTTTGCCCCCACCATTCCTTCTTTAAGGGGCATTGGCTACCTTGCTCCGTTGAGCCCAGCACAGGGCTCCTGGGAAGGCCCTCCCTTCCCAGGCCACCATCTCAGATGTTACCATGTCTTCTCCAGTTTCCCCAGGAGCTCGTGACCTACGGAGGAAATGGGCAGGTGTTCGGCAACTGGGCTCAGGTACGCTGGACTATGTCCTTGGACCCTATGCCCAGCCTTTCCCCCCATCATGTACTCTGGCCTGGAAGGAGGTTACAAACCCATGGCTCAGGACTCAGGCCTCTGCCTCCCTGATGCCTGAGATCGCAACACTGGAGGCAGTTTGGGAATGTTAAAGTTCATAAGGGCAGGAGTGGCTTTATTGGCGGCACCAGGAGCCACTAAAGCATAATGGAAGTCTGGAGGGACAGGGTACTAGGCAGGACCGCTGGGGCCTGGGGAGCTCTCAGAGCCTGGGCAGCGGCTTGAGACCTGCTGTGGGGCCCCCATTTACAGAGTCCTTCAATGTTTGCTCTCCCCTGCAGTTCTGGCTGGTGATGTCCTACTTGTCGCAGATGACGGAGGAGCAGACCCTGGTCATGTACAGTGGACACCCCCTGGGCCTCTTCCCAAGCAGCCCTGGGGCCCCGAGGCTGGTCATCACCAATGGGATGGTGGGTCCTGGGGCAGCTGGGCGTGGCGCCGGCCCAGGGACATTGGAAAGAGTCAGATGTCCCTGACACCTGCTTACCCATCGTTTCCAAGGGCACTGTGCTGCCCCCAAACCTTGACTCCTGTCCCTCTTTTCCAGGTCATTCCCAACTACTCTTCCAGAACAGAGTATGAGAAGCTCTTTGCCATAGGTGTTACAATGTAAGTCTCTATTTCAGTTTATATCACATCAATAAATATCATATATTTCCACCTTAGCGATACTTTATTATAAAACAATGTTGCGATATTAAATACAATTTTGAAAAACACTAAAAAATCACAGCACTGTAGTACTCTTTAATATTTATACATATCCCTAGTAGTTTTTATGGATATGCCTACAATTGTTACATACTCATAAGTGAGTGAACATACAAGTGCTGGGTCACATTCAATTGTCACTATGTTTTTCTAACATTTTATTATGAACAATTTCAAACATACAAAAAATTTAAAGAATTAACAGTGAATAACAAAATCCTGTGATTAATGTCCTACTAAACTCACCTTACCCTGTGTCTATCTGTCCATCCCTCTATCCATCCACCTGTTCAATTTGGGTTTTGATGCATTTCAAAGTAAGCTTTAAATATTATGGCCTGGAATTCAATATTTGTTTATAGTTCTTTTCTTTTGAAGTGAAATTTACACGTAATGAAATGCACACATCTTACATGCACCATTGGATGAATTCTGGCAATTGCACGCATCTGAGCAACTCAAACCCAATTAAGATGCAGAACACTACCATTTTATTTGTTATAAAATTAATGCATGCTCCAGGTTGAAACCTTTTCCCTCAGACATTATAATAAGAGCTACAATGAAAAGGAAATTCCTCTCCCGCCCTAGACTCCCCAGTTCACAGTGTTCCCTGCGTCCCTTCAAACATTTCTTATGCATGTGACTACAGATTTACATAGTTAGACCACTCTGATGCCTCTGCACTTGCTTTTCCCCTTTTATAGTACAGCTTGGAGACATTTCCGTTTCAGGAAACAGGGGCCTTGTTTTACCTACAGCGTTCAATTGAACCATCATGTATTTAGCCTACTTGCCTCCTGATTTGGCTTGTTTCCAGTTCTTTGGGATTCTAAAGAATGCTACACCTTTGTGGATCTTGGGGAGTAATAATAACCATGTGAAATGTGATCAAGTCTGTAGTATTGGGAGCCAATTAACCAGGCCTCAGGCTAATACTTTATAATATAATCATAATAATCACCATCATTTGGTGTTCTAGGATCTATAGGTTTAATCCTCTACACCAGTGGTTCTCAACCTTCTGAATGCCGCGACCCCTTAATATAGTTCCTCATGTTGTGGTGACCCCCAACCATAAAATTATTTTCGTTGCTACTCTATAACTGTAATTTTGCAACTGTTATGAATCATAATGTAAATATATTTTTGTTTTCTGATGGTCTTAGGCAACCCCTGTGAAAGGGTCGTTCAACCCCTAAAGGGGTTGCGGCCCACAGGTTGAGAACCGCTGCTCTACACAATCCTCTGAAATAGGTACTCTTATTAACCCATTTTGTGGAGGAAGAAACTGAGGCTCAGAAACCCAGTTATTTTTGTTGTTGCTCATAAGCAGTCGCTGTTGCTGTTCTTACTATTATGAGGCCTAAAGACTTCTGCTGTACAAGTGGAAGCAGCTCTAGTGTCAGAAGGATCAGGTCTGGGTACTGGCTCTATTGCCTCCTAACTGTGAGCTCCAGCAAGTCACTGTGCTTCTGTTTCGTTGACACAGGATGGAACTTTAAAGAGGGTGGAGTTGCAAAGTCAGATCTGGTTGACCCCAGGTGCCGTGGGCAATTAACTAAAGAAAAGATGTGAATCTCCAGTGGAAATAGGAAAAGATTTAAATATACCATATTAAGGATAACTAAAGCAAAGCCTTTTTCACTGTTGGGCTGACAAAAATGAAACTACAGATAATACCCAGTGCTGGGGAAGATGTGGGAAAACTGGCAATCACAGATTGTGGGTGGAGTCTACGTCAATGCAGCAGGCTGGGGGTGGCTGAGAGGACTACATCTAGCAACTGGGATCAAAGTTCCAGGTGGAGTAAACTTTGACCCCACAATTTTGCTTCCAAGTGTTATCTTTGGAGCAGCATGCAGCCGATCAGTTGAGCACAAAGGATTGAGCCAGAAAGACTTAAAATCAGTTCTCAACCCTGCTATATGTCCCTGTATAACCTTGGAACTCAGATCCAATCTGTACAGGGGCTATTAATTAATAAGGGTTGTGTGAAAATTAATGAAATTATGATAAAGGTGATACTCTTAGTAGGTGGCACAAAGGACAACCTTGGGTACTCTGCCTGAGTGAATGCAGGCCTACCAGGGAGTACACCCCATGGCAGGGGTTAGGAGCCCATTTGCCCTAGTTTGGGGGAGGGAGGATTTCTGATGGTTTTACCTGCCTCCCTGGATGGATGTTTATTATATTAGCGATATTCTCTCATATTGTGTAATATGCACATGACCTTTCAGGTAAGGGTGTTACCGGAGAGGGGGCCCTTCTCAGCGAGATGTCCGGGGTTGGCTCTCACACCTGGGATTAAACCTGGCAGAGTGGCTAGCTCCCCACACCAGAGGTCAAACCCAGGCCTTGGGGAGGAAAACTGGAATCTCAGCCGCCCCGTCTGCCAGGGGTTGGGCCCTTTTTGGCACGGTGTCAAGGTTCTTGGCATCTGGAGCAAGAAATTGAATGAGACCTGGAGGTAAAGTGGTGAAAAATGTTTATTAGAAGAGATAGTAGCGGTTCAATTCCCTGCCCGAGCTGAGCAGCCGCTGAGCTGCCAACAGGTGGCAGGATGGCTCAGCTTAAAAAAAAACGAACAACAGAAGAGATAGTGAAGCAGGATTTTTGATGTGTGTTTTTGTGTGTCCCCCCGGGATCATGGTCTTGTGGAACCAAAGAATGGAGACACAGACCAGAGAGGTAAAGTTGCAGAGAAGGACAATTTATTAGAAGAAAAAATACATTTCAAAGAAGCAGAAGTGGGCCCGAGCAGTAGAGAATGGCTCAAAGGCCATTATTAGAAGAGAAAATACACTCCAAAGAGTTTGGAGTGGGCAGAGCAAAAGAAGCTCAAAAGGCCCTAACTGGCCAGAACTTGGAGTTTTTAATAGCTTTTTTCTCTAGAATGGGCTGTTCCTCTCTGGGCATGGGACCACTTGATTGACACCTGTGATTGACAACAGGTTATTACCTCATCTTTTTAGACTGTGCATGTTCCTTCCCAGAATTCAGTCTGTTATAATGATATTAATGATTTCTGGGGATATGTATGATATTATAATGATGGTATAATGAGGCCCAAATGAAATGAAGGTCGTTATGGCCTTTACTGTGCAGGTGTGAGTGACTGGTCTAATCCAGTCTGGTATTTTGTACCCATTTGTTTCCCGGTAGGGGTGGATAATTACAATGAAAAGGGGAAGTTTTGGGTGGAGAGGGGAGGTGTGGGACATGCAGGAATGCAGAGACCCAACGCCTGCCTCTAACTACCTGCCTAGTTTTCCCCTTGAGAGATGTGATCCCCATAAAATCTCTACGGGGAAGTTGAGGGACAGGAGGTCTTTTCTTCTGTATCTGCTTCCTGCTGGGCAGGGGCGTAGAGCTGTCCCTGCCTATTGGGGGATTCACGGAACTCTCACCCTAGCTGATCTCACGTGAGAGGAAGGGGTCTCAAGATCCGACTGGAAGACAATGTTGACTTCTTTGGTTGAGACTGGCAGTCTTGCTGGGGTGCCCTCTGTATCCCCAAGGTCCCTAAATGAGGAAAAATAGATTTTAATTAATAAATTTCTTAAAGAGCAGAGCTCAAAGCTATAGATGAAGAGTGACTACAAGTTTAGAAAGAACATTAGCCTTTAATGTTTACAATCAACAAGTATACTGGCCTGGGGAAATGTTAAAACCTATTTACTCTCTAGGATGGGATTATCCAAGTGTTAGGTCCGGAATGGCTTGGGGAATGTTGGGAAGTCACAGACTTTTTATTTTTTAAGATTTTTATTGGGGAATTGGGGGAAGGGGAGCAGACAAGTTGCTGTCCTTTTGTTCTTCAGTCTAGTTGTGGAGGACGCTGTTTCACTGGCCCATGTTGGTATTGTGATCATTGTGCTCTTCCTGGCTGAGGCAGTTGGTCACCGGCCATTGGATGGCCAGTCACAGCGGCTCACGACAGCTTTTGCTGGCTGCTGACCACTCACGTTGGCTGCCGGCCACTCATGGTAGCTCACTGCAGCCCAGCTCCAGGTTGAGCTGTTGTTCACAATCTTAGCTGTAAAGGGTGCAACGTCACTGGCCCATGTGGGAACCGAACCAGCAGCCCTGCTACTCAGAGCTTGCATTCTCAAGCCAACTCTTAAGAACTGAGCCACTGGTCAGGCCGGGAAGTCACAGGCTTTTAAGTAGTTATCTAAAGCAGGGGTGGGTGAGAGATATTCTATGATTTAGTCTGGGCAATCTTTAGGATTCAGAAACTGATTAGAAAAGTAATCAAAGCTAGGGGCTAAGGAACTAAGAAACTAGGGAGAAGGAGACTTAAAATATCTATAGGAAAGACAGCTGGCCAAGTGGCTCAGTTGGTTAAGAGTGTGAGCTCTGAAAAGTGTTGCCAGTTTGATTCCCACATGGGCCAGTGAGCTGAGCCCGAGCTGAGCTGCCGCTGAGCTGCCAACAGGTGGCAGGATGGCTCAGCTGGTGAGAGCACGTGCTCCTAACAACAAGGTTGCCAGTTTGACTCCTG